AGGGAGTTATCTACTAAGCGGAGGCAAAAGAAGTCCCAAAGTGCTGAAGTCTCAAAAAAAAAGGTGAGTAAAAACACTATTTCTAAACTCACACATACACCATGATAGACACGGAAACACACACCTCATGACAGACAGACACACACACACACCATGACAGACAGACACACACATCATGTCACAGACACACACATGACACAGGCAGACAGACACACACACCATGACAGAAAGACACACACATCATGACAGACAGACACACACACACACACAATGACACAAACAGACACACACACACACACACCATGACAGAAAGACACACACACACCATGACAGACAGACACACACACACCATGACAGACAAACAGACAAACTCACACTGACACACACTACTACTACCTGCCAGGGGGTCGTGCGGACTACTTAATGAGAATATGACGTCCTATTCCGGCCGCAGTCTCATTAAGCTGCACGCTGGGGAGCAGGGACAGCTCCCCCAGCACACCCAGCTGTTTGCCCGGCCCCAGGTGCCGACGGCCCACCAGGAAATTTCCCGGTATCTCGGTGGGCCAGTCCGGCCCTCTTTGCACCTGAATATTTGCAAGCCGCTTAAAGGACTTAAAGCATCTGCTGCTAATGTATTTGTAACGGATCGCCTGGCACCCCGACTGGGTACCTCCGTTGATGGATGCTCCTAGCGCTTCCTGAGGACTCCAAGCACTCTGGCAGACACCACAATCACCGAACCGGAGAAACAAATAAATTCTCCCCATCATATGAATGCTGTAGACAGTTGAATAGGAACCATATGAATAGGTTTACTCTCCTAGCAGTCAAACTGGAACAACATACAATAAATCCTTCCCCCAATAATGAGACGACACTTCACTTTGAGGGTTAGAACAGGAACTGATTTACTGGGGCTAACTGCCCGGCTTTTATGCAGGTCTCCCACCTGGTGGACACTCCCCTAGGGGACCAAATGGGAGACTGGGACACAAAGGGTAAAAGGACCAATCACAGACTTACACATTTCAACCATCCCACAATGCATCACAATCCCTCCTCTCTGTCCTGGAGATAATTTGGGAAGTAATTAAATTATCTCCAAAGACAGAGGCAAAACTCCATTAACCACAAACAAACAGTAAAAGACATAAAATTACCTACAGTTACATTCAGTACATAAAACATATACGTTCTACATATCCCCAGATAGCTCAGGTCTGAGCGCACATTATTAAGTGAATGGCGCTCAGACCACACGAATACAGTTTAATCACCATGGAGCCAAAGTCTTTACACAGTCAGTTTCATGCGAATGGGCTCCATGGGATTCCTATCTGGGGTACAACACACTCAAACAAATCTACCGAACACCCGGCAGAAAAGCACAAATAAGTCTTTTCTGCAGGGAAAAATATGTCTTTTAACATGGGGCCATAGTCCAAAGGCAGCAGGCGAGCAACCAGGCTTCTCCAGTGTACAGTGGCGAGGTTGGTTTCGCCACAGTATTGGTGCCAGATATAACAGGCCACGTTCAAATGTGTTGTGGAATCCATGCCCTTACACATATTTTGGCAGTGCGAGAGAGACCTACGCAATATTAGGCATGTGGTTTTGATGTTGTGGCTGATCTGTGTATGCACACTGTAAAGTAAAAATGCTGTAAAAAATATAAATTGGATTTCTTAGTTCATTTTTATCAATTAACAAAATGCAAAGGAACTCAGTAGGTAGGTTGTTCCTAACATCTTTGAGAACTTAAAACAGTTCTTCTGTGACTTTAGTGTGATTCTATAGTGTTAGCAATGCAAATCTGTATTCCTAACATTGTAGAGCCCGCTGGACCCCCCTCCCTCTCGCTCCCAGGCTCATGAAGGGTTAAAAAACCCTTTAGCTACTTACACAAATCCAGCGCTGATGTCCCTTGGCACTGGATCAGTGCTCCGCCTCCTCCAACGTCATCCGACAGGGTTGCTAATGATTGGCATGAGCGCATTAGGCCCTCCCCATAGGGAAGTAATGCTTCAATAATTTCCAATGGGGATTTTACGGACACTGGATGCCACCAGGAAGTGCCTCTAGTGTCTCTATCTGATTGACAGCCACTAAAGGCAGTCTTAGTCCTCCAATGATATTATTGCAGTTTCTCAAAAACTGCAATGTTTTACATTGCAGGACTAAGTGGGAATGGGCGACTGCACCTAGATTGTTTCAATGAGCTAAAGTGCTCTGGGTGACCATAGTGTCCCTTTAAGCAGTCCCTGTTCTTCTTTACACTAAAGATAATCAGGTCCCCCAACAAGATTACATGGTTCTGTCCCAGTTTAGTTTCCTGGTGTCCCACATCTGGGTACAACAGGAAAGTATCCCCAGAAATCACAATATGATCATATCGTTAGGTACTTTCATATTGTGCAGTGGACACTAGCACCATGCAGGGAGCACTTCAGCAGTTGAGGCTTTATATTTGCTGTTTTAAAGCTGAGAAATCAAAGATAAAGAAGAATGGGACACTGGTCTGAAACAGAAAGTCCAGAAAGTAGCTTCTCTAGTCCAATCTGCAGAGGATAAGATGCCGGTCAAAAAGCCTCCTGCTCCCAAGGCAGCTGCACCTTGCAGAAAAACAGGGGTCATCTGAACCAAGGGCAACTGTCAGGCAGGATACTAGTTTGTGAGGTCAGGCATATGACACAAAAAGGGGGCCAGAGGGTGCTCTGTCTGATTAGCCATGCAGAGGGAAAGTGTATCTGGAAAATAAGGATAGAAAACTGATGACGAACTAACTTTAGTACGTCTCGTAATGGTAAAGTGTAACCCATCCGGCGCAAAGGTAACTGCATAGTAATTGAAGGCTCTAAAGCTGTCTGAAACTCGACGAAAGGTCACTAAGCAAAGAAGAAGTGCTACCTTAGCAGAAATCTGGCTATTAGGGGGCAAACTTCCAAAAGGGAACAATGACAGGAAAGAATAGGGAGAGAAATCCAATCCCCAAAGAAAAATGGGGCAGAGGACTGCCTTCACCATTCAAAGAATACCTCCTATTGTAAAAAACACATAAATGAGGGTATAACACCTCATTGAGTATATAAAAAATATAATAAATACTCAAATACTGCCAAATAAATCTAATGGTAGTAGAAAAAAGGAGAGTAGACAGACAGGTTGTCCCTGTATAATAATACAGAGTATAATATAGGGGAGATGGGAAGGTGAAGACTAATCAAAGGATAACAGTATCGAAGGAGAGAGGGGTTGAAAACCTAAAGAATCAAGTAAGAATATAGTTCTGAATATTATATATAGGTGGCCTAAAGGACCCCTAAACACCACTGCTCCCACGGAACCTACACCAACCATCTAATTGCTGCTATAAAGGCAGCCTATCTCAATCCCCTAAATATCTAGAATAAACTAGCATAAACTCTTAGGGACAACTCCAGGCTGGAAAGGTAGATAGAAAACAAAAGGTAGAGAGTGCTGCATAAAATATATAAAAAAATCTGACTAGAGTATGCCTAAAAAGGTAGTAAATAGCTTCAGCGTAAATCACTTCGGTTTGGGCTATCTAAACTCGCAACAGCAAATTAGCATCAACTGCAGCTGTCAACAGAGTATATGTAAATAGCGATAGCTGTAACTGAAAATCTTAAGGCAAATGGTAGCATCCGCTAAAGCTAAATAGACTCAGCATCTCAAAATAAAATGTGATCCGACTAAACCCTGCCTGGAAAAAGTTATAAAAATATAGCTGCAGTCAAAAGCTCAAGTAAACGTAAATAACTTCCGGTATAGCTATCTAAACTCACACTAGCAGATAACCATCGGCTAAAATTGTCAACGGAGTATGTATACAAAAAACGAAAGCTATAGCTAGAACTAAAGTCTAAAATTAAATAATAGCATCCACTACAGCTAACTAAACTCGACGCGCGTTTCGGCGTTCTTAAACACGCCTTTATCAAGAGCAACTTGTTTAGTGGTAAAAGGTTGCTTTATAAAGGGTGATAACCACTTCCTCAGAAATGACGTCCTCCAATCGGCAGGGTTCATCCGATCATCATGCCCAAAGAGGACCAATCAGAGAGAAGTGGGCGTGAAGCTCACGTGGTCACTAGAATTGCAACAAAAAGAAAGAAAGCGTCATATTATTATTATTATTATTATTATTGCCATTTATATAGCGCCAACGGATTCCGTAGCGCTTTACAATATTTTGAGAGGGGGGGTGTAACAATAAATAGGACAATTACAAGAAAACTTACAGGAACAATAGGTTGAAGAGGACCCTGCTCAAACGAGCTTACAGACTATCATAATGACGAGAGTGGCTATTAAGCCAATTACGTAAACATTGTTACTAATGTGATCACCCCTTAATTGAGGGAAGAGGTTGCGATGTCGGAAATACCTAAACTCCGGCAAAAAATAATAACTAAATAAAATAAAACATTGTTACACTGTAGCAACTAGATAGTAGCGCAGTTAAATAATATGAACAACATTACCAAATTGTTCACACCACCTCTTATTATACTGGTAGGAAAGAAATTTCCACGAGGCAACAAACAGATAAGACTGTCAAAAAAATAAATAAATAAAATTAATATAATGTTGCTCAGTGGAATACCCTGGACAGATATATTGACAAAATATAAAAATGATTATAGAGATGAAATAAACAATCCAATAATGATCAAAAAAAGATTATATTAAGAGTCCTATATATACTATTAACAGTATAAAAGAGGTGTTTGCAGGGAAGCAAAATATATTAGTAAGGGGGTTCCGGTTCCGGCTCTAGCCAAGATGGCCGCGTGAGGAGAGAGCTCCGCTCCACCAGTCCCCAATTGCACAAAATACGCACAGACCGGCAAGCTTAATGGGGCGCACTAAACGACCGGAGCACACCCAGACCCCTAAGAACTCACAACAGAGACCACTGGACGGTTTTTTACAGCCGCAAGCCGGATCGAGCGGAAGCTCCACCAGCCCCCAAAATGGCGACGTCCCCCGCATCGGAACAGGAGATACCGGCGCTGAGCCGCATTGAAAGCTCCCTGCGTGATCTAACCGCCTCAGCAGTGACCAAATCTGATCTCCAGGCCATCACCACCGCAATCCAGGAAACCCTGCGCACCGAGATAGCGGGGATCCGTACAGAGCTCACCTCACAGGCGGGCCGCATTACCGCAGTGGAGGAGGCGAGCGAGGCCCTTACAGCCCGCGTGGCAGCCACTGATACGGCTGTGGCTCGCCAGGGCGAGATGCTACTATCTGTGCGCCGACACCTGGAGGACGTGGACAACAGGGGCAGACGATGCAACATACGCGTCCGCGGAGTGCCAGAGGCAGAGGGACCGGAGGACGCAGTGGCAATACTCACTGAACTCTTCTGCTCCCTCCTACAGCCATCCCCGCCAACTGAGATAGAGTTTGAGAGGGCGCATAGGGCCCTGCGACCGCGCACGGTAGAAGAAGGCCCGCGAGATTTAATCTGCTGCCTACACTCATTCCCGGTGAAGAATGCCATAATGCTGAAAGCCCGGGAACGGCAGACCTGTCCCTTCCAAGGGGCTCATGTCTCCCTTTACAATGATTTCTCCCCCATGACACTGGAAGCCAGACGGGCCCTACGCCCGGTCACAACCATACTAAGAGACCATAACATATCCTACAAATGGGGATTCCCCTTTGCTCTACAAGCCAGACACCAAAACCGATGGCTCACCCTGAGATGGCCTGAAGAAGTACCGCGCTTTATGGGAGAATTGGGCCTTCCCTCACCGCCGGTCCCTGATTGGATACTGGGGTCATTAAACCCGCAACCAAGACTGCAGAGGGGACCTAGACAACGAGGTATGAGAGCACCCCCTGTTCAGCGCACAGGAGGCCGAGGGAACCCGACATCCCCAGAGGAATAAAGTCAGCCACCCAAGTATATCCGTAAGCCGTCACGCACCACCTCCGAGACAATCCGACCTTGCCAGCTCCCTCTATCACCTACCGCCACGACTAGCCAGGGCTGGCCTGACCCCTACTGTTGATGCCAGCTACCCGCTACTGTTTCCCGGATCCCAAGTTGAGCAGGTTTGACGTATGACCCCACTCTCAAGTACTCTGGGTTAAAGTTTTGAAGCTTGGGAGGGGGGGAAATGGGCACGGAAACGTGGGCGGGGGGGCCTGATCACCCCTGAGACATGGGCAAGGGACTAACACCTACAGATGCCTGATAGTCCCCAACTGTTTTGCTCTGGACATATTACAAGATGACATGGCTTGGTCTTGCCTTAGGGCAGGGGGCCTGCAGGGGACGTGGATGGGGTGCACTCATGGCTCCACTGGAAACTGTTACTTAGCATTTGCCCTGGTCAAGGCCGCCTGAAGTCGGGCACCTCTTTATGGCTTAAACAAGCTCAGAAATCTTGACTTTCACTTGTGGAGGGGGACCAGGGGGGAGGGAGGGTGGGAGCGGAGGAAGTTACTATTAAGTGCCTTGATGTATATTGTTGTACCCAGACGATGACCTACACTGACCTCTCTTACGCCCAATCTCATATGCAGCTACACATAGGTCACTACACACGGACACGCAAGGTCACCATATGTTTGAGAATCCGATTTACTCCCACCATGCCCCTAACCCCTTGCAAAGCTTGAATGGACGAGCACATGGCCGCTTGCTATACAAGGGGCTCCCGGACCAACATACACGCTCACTGACTGGGCACACTAGGGGGTTGAACCACCACAAACAAATGCGCAACTTGTTATGACAATAGGTAGGGGAACTACTTAAGCAACTCTAAAATGGTCCCTGGGTATACGCACGGGTTACTACACCGCTCATACACTCTCTGTCACTACTGCCTAGGGACACACTGGACACGCAGGACACCTCGGGACAAATGCGACGGATGGACATAGAGTGTAGCTCCTTAGACTGTAGCATAAGGGGACTGACGGGAGGTACAGGAAAATGGACCACTGATGTGGACTCCATAACCGGTTTTATAATGTTTGATGTTAATAATTATAAGCCTTTATTGTGATTACGCTTTGTTTGCATGATGCTAATACCGGCTCAATTCTTAACTGGGGGGTCTGGTGGAGCGGAAAACCTCAAATCTGACCCATCGACTCTCGGATACCTTACTTGGCTGGGGCTCGAGCCGCGTTCTCTAACACACTTACTCGCGCTAGTAGGCTGGTGACCAGACGGCGGATCCCTAGATTCCTGGGCTGGCCCCGGAGCTGGGCCCAACTGATACTGGTCACCGCGCGAGTCCCCCTCACACATTAGAGGGATATTACAACTAGGACCCTAACGGAGTACGGGGGGTTACCTACACACGGGATATCCAACATCGCTCACTCGCACGCGGCGCCTTTGGCTTGGCCCTCCCCGCCCCGGGCTCGGATCACCCACTGCTGACATCTGCTGTTGCATTCCCCCCTCTTACCCTCTCCCTCCCTCCCTCCCTCCACACCCGCCCCATCCCCTCTCCTCTGTAACGCGTTGACCTGCCTGCGCACCGGGCCCGTGGTCCCTCCTGACTCTCAGGACAATTGGTGGCATCCCCGGACCTCCACCGTCACATATAGTGAGTATGGCTTACCAAAGCGCACCCCTGCGGTTCCTCACGCAGAACTGCAGAGGGCTCAACATCCCCGAACGACGGACGCACCTGCTGCGCGAACTGAGGAAAAAGCGCGTCATGATCGCTATGCTTCAAGAAACGCACTTTAAGGAGGGGTCAACCCCTAACTTACGTAATAGGCACTTCCCTAATAATTACTTCTGCAACCACCCGACTGCGCATAAATCTGGAGTAGCTACATTATTGGCCGCGGAGCTGGACTTTAAAGAACTGGAACGTGTACAAGATTCACAGGGAAGGTATCTCTTCCTTAAAGGCACCATAGCTGACAAGATATACACGATAGCGAATATATATGTCCCCAATAAGAGGCAGGCCCCATTCATTCACAACACATTGCTCCAACTGGAAAACTTTACAGATGGGATTCTAGTGGTAGGAGGCGACTTTAATGCTCCATTCGACCCAACACTGGACTCCTCCACAGGCCATAGCTGCCTACCACAACACAGTATTAGATCCATCCGACAGTCGTTTGAAGCCCTGAGACTTGTGGACTGCTGGAGGGCCCTTCATCCCACGGAAAAAGATTTCACCTACTACTCAGCCCTCCACAACCGTTACTCACGTATAGACTATATCCTTATTGCACAAGAAGGCCTTTCCCACCTATGTAGTGCCAAAATTGAAACAGCTACTTGGTCGGACCATGGCTCGGTCGAGATGGAACTGAACTCACCTCTATACAGACCGAAGAACTGGACCTGGAGACTTAATCCAACTCTGCTGCTCGACCTGGACACCAAGACACAGATCCAACAAGCCTTAGAACAATACTTCAGAGAAAATGACACCCCAGAGTCCTCCCCAATCACCATCTGGGAGGCCCACAAAAGTGTGATTCGGGGCACATTCATACGCATCGCTTCCCAGAAGCGTAAAGCTTTCATGCATGAGATGGCCGAATTATATAGAACTATCTCGAATCTGGAACGCCAACATAAACGCTCTCAGCTTAATGCGATATACGGTGAACTAATGGAACAAAGGAGGAAACTTACAAACCTTATTTTGAAAAGACATCTCCGCTCGGTACAACGCACGAAGGGCTTTTACTATGTACACGCCAATAAAGGGGGCAAGTATCTGGCGAGACTGCTCAAAGGCCCCCAACCTCATCGACAAATACGTAAGATCCGTCTGACCTCGGGGGAGATCTCCCCGTTCCCACAGAAAATTGCGGAGGAGTTTCGGTCGTTTTACAAACGCTTATACAATCTCTATGAACCTAACGGAGCCGCTGAAGACGCGAGAGTACACGCCAAGACACGGGATTACCTATCTGGTACGGTCACCAACACGATCAATCAGGACTCAGCCACACTATTAGACGCTCCGATAACCGTGGAAGAATTAGCTGCAGCACTTAAGGTGTCCAAAACGGGTAAATCACCCGGTCCGGATGGTTATTCCACGGGGTACTATAAAAATTTCGCTGGTATATTGTTACCCTGGCTCACCAAAGCACTTAATGCCGTCGGCGAGGGTGGGTCTCTGGGGAAAGAGTCCCTAGCAGCCACCATCACGGTCTTACTTAAGCCCGGGAAGGACCCACTGCAATGTAGTAGTTACAGACCGATCTCATTACTGAACGTTGATGCCAAATTGTTCACGAAGGTCCTAGCGACTCGATTCAAACATCTACTCCCAGATCTCATACACGCGGATCAGACGGGCTTCATTCCGGGTAGGGAGGCTCGAGATAGCACGTTGAGACTCTTTTCCATACAGCACCACGCGAGAAAATCAGGGACACGGTTGCTCCTGTTGTCAACAGATGCTGAAAAAGCATTTGACCGTGTCAACTGGAAATATATGTTGGAAACTCTGCGATGGCAAGGATGTGGTCAGAGACTCCTTACGTGGATATCTGCAATATACAGTAGACCACGTGCATCTGTGAGGGTTAACGGGGCTACGACCGAGGATTTCGCAATCAACAACGGAACCCGCCAGGGCTGTCCGCTCTCACCCCTATTGTTCGCACTATCCCTGGAGCCCCTACTTCAGGCAATTCGCCAAAACCCAGACATACAGGGATACGAATGGAAGGGGGTGAATCACAAAGTAGCAGCATATGCTGATGATCTCCTTTTCTTTGTAAGCAACCCCAGGATCACACTGCCGTGCCTCCTCGCGGAATTGGATAGATACGGACAGATATCCGGATTCAAGCTTAACGTTTCGAAATGCGAGGTCCTGAATATAACGCTCCCCATGGAGGAATTCCGGTCTTTGGAATCAGAGTTCGCATTTCATTGGTGTCACCATAGAATGAAATATTTGGGAGTCTGGGTATCCGAGGACCCGAGCAATATATACCAACACAACTTCGCGCCCTTATTAAAAGCTGTACTCACGGACCTAACCAGATGGAACCATCCGCACATAACATGGCACGGAAGGGTCGCGGTAATTAAAATGAACATTCTCCCGAGGATCCTGTACCTTATGCAAACTATACCTCTCGCCCTGCCATCGGCTTTCTTTTCCACCTTGAAAACAGCAGTGCTCAAGTTTATTTGGAGGGGAGGACGCCCCAGGATCCGACATGACATATTGTGCCGACCTAGAATTCACGGAGGTCTGGCAGTACCCGACTTTAAGAAGTACTACCAAGCTGCAAGCATGCAACGTATACTAGACTGGCACACAACACCTTCAACTAAACAATGGGTAGAGCTCGATAGAGGTCTAATCGGACCATCGCTGGAGGCGCAGGTTTGGGGTCACTCGAGGCGACCACCAACTCATCTTACCAAGGAAGGATTGACACTACAGACCCTGATAAGCTGGATATCTGTAAGACGACAGGACCACATCTCTCCCTCCCCCAGCCCGATGATACCAATTACACATAATGAAGCGATAGGGGGGGACTCCCCTCGGGAGCCTGGCCTTTGCAAGAGGATGGCACATATATACCTATACACAAGGCTCTTGAGGGCGGAAGGCTACGGACTCTTCCCTCGATGCTAGGAGACAGCCCTCAGACGCATCTCTTCCGATTCAGATATTTCCAATTGAAACACTTCTACGAAACACTACCACACAAGGATAAACTACATAGAGATCTCACGTGGTTTGAGACCCTCTGTGATCGTGGCACAGCTATAGAACACGCTATTTCTGCACTGTATCAACACCTCTTAACCGGTCAATCGACAGCGGTCACAACGTTCAAACGGCAATGGGAAGAACAACTTGGACAATCCCTCTCGACACAGCAATGGGATACGGCGTTGCTCTGGCAGCATAAAAGCTCAATGAGCTCTTACTATCAAGAAATGAACTATAAACTAATTTATCTCTGGTATAGGACACCTACCTTACTACATCGTATATTTCCCTCAATATCACCGATGTGTTGGAGGTGTCAGGAGACACGTGGAATGGTACTACACATCTGGTGGGAATGCGGAGCCATAACCCCATACTGGGAAATGATCAAGGAAACAATCGTACTCATCCTGGGGGATCTTCCGGACTGGAACGCAGAACTGGCATTACTACACATCACACCATTACCCATATCTTTGTATAAGAAATCGATACTGCGGCACTTGCTTAATGCCGCCAAAGCCAACATCCCAGCTCACTGGAAACAAACCGACATACCTACTAAAAAAGAATGGATCCACAGGGTGGAAGAGATCCAAGGAGCAGAAGCAGCATACGCCACTCTAACAGGTCGGGAGACCAGGCACGCAGAGAAGTGGACGCCGTGGTTCCTGTACATCTCTCGCTACCGCAGTGATGGAGGTACACCGGGGCCCGAAGTGGGGGCACGGCCTGACGCGAGCTAAGCCAGAGGGATCATACCCTGTGTAACCTGCTTACCCCTACCCCTTGCCCTTCCCACTCTCTTATCCTTCTTGCCGGCGGGTGGGGGGCCGGGCCCGGGGCTGGGGGGATCTGCTGAGGGCGCTTTGCGGAACTACAAACAACACCTTACACTGGGAGAGTCACAAGGGACCTGGACACTACACCAATTGATGTACTATGACTCAGGATAACTCATTATAGATGGGAGATACTTGGATATCAAGCAGGTCGAACACACGGCAAGTTACATGATGAACATCCCAAACCGGATAGACCCGTGACACCTTTCACTCTTGCACAGTAGTAACACCCACATCACACAACACTTTGACACTTCTCTCATGATATACAGGAGAGGGAAGCCCCAAGCACTTTTTCTTAGACACAGAGGCACATGGTCGCTACGCGAGCTCAGCATAGAGTTACGGTTGAGGGAAAATCGATGGGTCAGATGAGGGGCCCAGGTTGGTTGCTGGTTCCGACTTCCGGGTTGGCCTAGCAATCAGGGTTCCCATCACACAACATGTTGCCACACCCACCGTACCTAGAGTAAAGCACAGGTACCATTAACGATAACCGGCCTCATAACAAATACCTCATCTGAGAGATGAGAAATACATATAGGTGTTTTCTATAATAAACTTCATATAAAAGGTTGGGCTCGACAGAAGTAACTCCGGGAATACTCCATGCTCATTGCTCACCAATCACGACTATAACAAGAGATTTGGCCTAGTGCACAAGACCTCCCATGTTCATTTATAATACCCTGCTGAATGTAAACTAATGGGCAACTGGGTTCAGTCACCTAACTGGCAAGTATAGTCACTATCATGACCAACTTGGTAGCGACAACCTAATTTTTAATATACTTATGTTTGATTGGAATTCTTATACGTATATACACAGACCTGCGTGTCTTGCTCTGTTATTGTCGATGACTATGCATAATCTTCAATAAAAAGATTTACAAAAAAAAAAAATATATTAGTAACAGACTGCAGGTAATAATGCTACAAAAAGATTTACAGATGCCGGGATACTTTTAAAGGGGACATCACCACCTCTATATACTCAATAAGTGGTTGTTTACAAAAAGGAAAATGTGTATAATGAAAAAAATCTCAAACAAAACTGTTGCTATAAAGACAACCCCACACAAACAAATCTACAATAACCCTATAATGTGTAATAGAATAATCACATAAGGTAATTCATGGGCCGGTTAGTTAGATCAAAATACAGAAACAGGAAATAGTAAAAAGGATTAAAGGGAAAGTGTGGTCAAATAAACGGGGAAAAGGAAAAACCCTCGTTGAGACCTTTCGGATGAAGGGTTTTCAATTTGTAGATCCATCTACATTCTTTTTGACGCAGGATTTTATCAAAATCCCCCCGTCTTTGGTCACGTTTAACAAGTTCTAAACCACAAAACCGTATATCTTTAGATGAACCCCCATGATGTTCCTTTAGATGTCTTGAAATGGGGGTATCAAAACGGTTTTTGGGTGACCTAACATGTTCCTTAATACGTTCTTTAAAAGGACGGAACGTTTTACCCACATACAATGATTTACAACTGCAAGTGAGGAGATATACAACTCCTGTTGAGTTGCAGTTGAAGAAGTGGGTAATCTGGTAAGTGTGTTTACCTTCAGTATCCGTAACTTCCTTTGAATTTCTAAGGATGTATCTACAAGCTACGCACCTTCCGCAACCATAAGTCCCCACAGGGATCTTACGACCAAGCCAGGTCTTGTTAAGATGTTGCTTGGGGGCAAAATGACTAGGTACGAGGATGTCACGAAAGTTCTTGCCCCTCCTTGCTGTAATGGACACCTGTGGACCCAGAATCTCTTTTAAGTGATTGTCTTTAAGAAGAATGGGCCAAAACTTCTGCATAGAGCTTTTGACCTTATCCCAACCAGTGTCGAATGTACCAATCATCCGAATGGTTTTATTGGTAGGTTTATCTGGTACTGGGAAGTCTGACAAAAGATCTAATCTGTCAGTAGTTAATGCTCTCAAATATGCTCTCTTAAGGCATCTATTAGGATAACCCTTCTCCTTGAACTGTTGTCTCAAGACCTTAGCTTTAATTTGAAAATCCGCAAGATCTGTACAATTGCGTCGTAATCTAAGGTATTGCCCCGTAGGGATACCCTGCTTTAAAGATCTTGGATGGCAACTGTTCCATTTAAGGAGAGAATTGGATGCTGAAGGTTTCCTAAAGAGAGTTGTAGTTAGAGAGCCATCACCAGAAATCGAGATTGTAAGGTCCAAAAAGTTCAGTGTACAACCACCAAACTCTGCGGTGAATCTCAGGTTATCATCATTTACGTTAAGGAGGGACACAAAATCATCAAACTCCCTACGATTCCCCTGCCACATCAAAAAGACATCGTCAATGTATCTATACCAAACAATAATTTTGGATAGAAAAGATGACAAAATAGTAGA